AATCCCTAATCACTACTATTTTCAAACAATAAATCTATAAGGAAATGTTAGTTAGTACACCGCTTAGGGTCACCTTCAGGCCCAAAAAGAAACCTTTTTCATGACGCCGTACTGAGGTTAAGAACTAAGAGCCCGACAACAACACTATATATGCAGCACTTAAACTTTCGTGCTCATCTATCACTCGGGTTTAAATCCCGGCGACAGAGTTAATGCTGACCTTGACTTGCGAAGACAACAGCGATAGTCGTGAATATCAAACGTTGCCGTACTTGTCATTAAGCTGTAATTTTAGCGGCCTTTGTATTCTATCACTCAATATGACTTTGCTAACCGATTGAGACGGCCTTCTCCCCATATAAAAGCTACCCAGCAGAATTTAGACGTTTATGGAGCATTTTTCCTCTAAAACTCTTAGGAAGGACGCGATAAAGTTTGTTGGCTAAATGAAACCCTGTACAAATCGACTATACAAGACGTCATAAAAATTTTTTTGCAACGATGGTTTGATTCCTCTCTCTAACAAATTCAACATTGATATTAGCGCTTCGTCGAGGTAAAGTGATGAATCACTCAATTCTTACAACTTTCGTAAACTGAAAACTTACACAATCCGTAAGATGAAAGTACATTACTATCAGAAGAATAATTAACTTAGTTAACATTGTCTTAAAAGACGTTGAAAGCGGGTTTTATTGTTTAGGTCTTTGTTTCAGAACAATAGCCAGTCGTTCTCAAAAGATTTCAAATAAAGACCAAGCGGTTAACAAGACAGCTTTCAAAACAACTTGTTAACCAAATCAAGATCTAATTTATCAAGGCGTACGTGGGGTGTGAAACATTTACTCAAATCCGACAAGTATCTATTAAACAAAATCGCATCCTACTATTCTGGGGTCAATTTTAGGCCCCATATTAATCTTACGTATTGCCAGGATTACAGATTTGCAGATAACCTGGCTTAGAAATCGATAGTCAGCGCTGATTAGCAAGAATCACCAGCAAAGATTTGAAAACGATTCAAAATGAAACATGAGCAATAATAATTTTAAACCGTTTGGCTTTGCGCGCGCTGAAACCGGCCATATCGTTCACGATCGAGCCTGCAAATGAGATTACACCTTCTTAACTCACAGACAAGTGAGGCTCGTTAAAAATAAATGACCAGAAATTTGATTTTTGCGCATTCTTTCTTAATTTATCATCCCCGTTGGGCCAGTCTGCTTGTCAATCATCTATTGTCCAGGTGTCGTTCCTGCTGTGAGTTAAGAAACCTTCACTTTGCCACAACAAACCAGTTATGACACAAGGAATAGCAAGCTACAGATCAGTCACTGACGATTACCGCGCTGAGAGAGCCTTCGGGAAGTACACTGTGAAAGATCTAGTAACTTGAGGTATGATTGTCGTCTAGAAACTCTCTAACAACTTTAATGACAGGCTTGGCACGAAAGCATTGTTTTGTTAAACACACGTCTGGGTTTAAAACTCGCCATTTGTGATAATTCTACGAGTGTTTTCACAGTCTGGTTTGTTTCAAAGCTGCTTACAGTTCACACTTCTTTCCATTCGTGCGCGCTTTCGAGCGTTTCGCCCGATGTGCCAAAGTGGATTAACCCCAAGTACATACCTTGACGTATATACATGTACTTCGACGCCATTAAAATCTGACAACAGTATTTGTTTTCCTTCTGTATTTATATGAACGACAGGAGTCAGTTATCAAACCAGTAGTAGACTTGTTTTTCTATCTCCAAATTGATTCGGAAACCTAATCATTATTCTCGTTCCTTGTCAAACCTTCAACATTTTTAATGAGTAATTAGCCAGGCGATACGAAGTTTTTGCCAACTACTTAATATTCTTTTCATGACGGCAAAGAAATTGATTCTGTACATTCTTTACTGCACTACATCTCATCTGTTCTGAATCGGAGCCGGGTTTATCTTAAATGACACCCGGATTAATATAACTGGGATTTACGAACAGAGAAAGTCGTGGGGTTGGAAATATCGCACTTGCAACACGAGGATTGACACTTTCTTAAGAGTTACACGACTCGGGTCTAGCTAAGCCGCTTAGAATAATTGAAAAGAAACACTTCTTTGCGGTTCGTGGTTTTAACACAGAGAATGTTGTGGTCTACAGGGATTCCACCAACTATAAAGTCTATATTTACCACAGTTTTGTAAACCACATTGGCAGACACCTTATAGTGTACTACAGATTAACCGGTCAGAGCCGGGTGTTCTATTCACAAGTCGCGTGCATCGGAAGTAATCGAAATTAATTTCGTACACGCGTACGAGGTACGGTGTTTATGGTGCTTTAACCCCATGAGGAGTGTACAGAAGCAGATAAACAACAGTGAATTACACGCCAACCGCGAAAAAACAGCTCTGTATAATGTTGATTTATTGAAGGCGATTCAGTGGCTCACTTCAACGCGAGATTTCATCAGGTCGTTTGCAAGCTATCATAAAGTCTTCGCGAAGATATCGCCGAAAACGATTAACAGCCTTTTAAATGGATTTCACAGCGTGCACAAATGTTTGATCTCTCCGACTCACAAAAAACCGCGTCGAAAAAAAAACCCTAAAGCTTTCATCCTTAAGATCTAACAGCTTTATCCCCACAGTGTTCAATGACTTTGCAATGTGTCTGTGCATTTATACCTGCCCTGAAACATGACTACATAATTTTCTTGCGAAAACCGCATGGAATGTTAACAATAACTACAATGAAATTACATTACCAAGCTATTATGAATTGATAACTATTTCATATCAGCCCGTAGATACGTTCCTTAGTTCACGGGCTGACTTATAGTTGGTGGAAAAAAAAAATGTCCGTATTTCCTCGAGAAAACGCTAAAAGGGGCGTTTGAAAGTTCTGTGGAATACTACTTAAGTAATTATTTGCGTTTAAATAGGAAAAAAACAAAAAATACTTATCAACACCTATGCTAATAGTGTTAATGAGATTATTCTTCTTTTCAGAGAGCAGGTTTTCCATTATTTAACTGAAGAAAAAAATCCACTTAGAAGAGAATTCAAAGCCAGCTGTTCGCACTTATTGCCTCTCGTGTTTTAGGAGCACAGCTGCGCGGAGAGTTATCTAAACATTCTTTTCAAGGAAGCTCGCTCGGCAGTCATCTTTGTATTTTTCTCTAAGAGATGACATCTTTGATAAGAACAATTACAAACAAACAATGCTAGAGAGACAGCAAATCGCCAAGCCTGATCGGGTTCTTGTTATTGAAGAACCTCTCCCATTTGGGAAACAATTCATTACTTATCGCACAATTAAAACGAAATTTGTAACAAAAAAAAAAAAAAGAAAAGAAAAACGCGCGCTGAGTCTCGAAAGCGCATGGTTAATCGCATTTTTGCAAACATCGCTCGTAGCGATCACGCGACGAGAAACGAATTAAACCGATGGAATACATCTGTCCAAATCGTGCTGGGCGACCACTGCGCGACCTGATACTTTAATAAGTTCCGCTCCAACGCCCCATTCTTTAACAAGTATTCTCGAAGGTTTTTAACAATCTTAGCAGCTGATGAGTTCAGTGGGTCTCAATTTAGAATTTTTAAAATTAAAGTGCGCACTCTGTCTCGCCGAAATAAACCCTAAACACGAAGGGTGGACGCGCGGGGGTGTCGAAATTAATCGACGAATTACACCCCTGATTGACTATTCTGTTTTTATGCTGTTAAATAAAGAAAGGGAAGCCTGCAAGCAATTTGCTTTGCGTCAAAGGCTCGAGAATTCATAAACACGATTTCAAGGGGCAGCTGTAACGAACGGAAATAAACTCACAAAGCGCTTCCTTTTAAATGAAATCAAGCGAATCAAAAATGACCACAACAGATTTCTCAGTTGCCCACGAGTTGAGCAGAGCTTTAACTTGAAGATCATAATTTGTTCGCCAAGTTCACGATCTTGTCAAGTCAAGGCAGCTGCAATACGATTTGTAGGTTGGTAACAAAGGCAAACAACGAACAGTGTTGTTCGTTCACAGAGCGCGAGTGTAAACCTGCCGATTTGACTCGTATACCGATAAACACAAGACGAAAAGTACTGTTAAATACGGAAAAGAATACTTGCGCACACTGATATTTTTGGCGGAGGAAAATATACCAGTTCTGCATAAGATACGTGAAAGTCAGGAACTTTCACGGCAAGATGACCTCAGATAAAGCGAACGGTTATCCGCCGGAAGGTTTAGCAAAAGATGTCTTCGTAAAATTGTACCTAAACATCAGAAACGGGAAGTTTCAATCTTATCTTTGTGTCAGACCCCTCGTCCTTGTTTTAAATTCGCAGCGATGTCTATTGTCAGAAATCTCTTCGCGTGAATAATGCATAAAATTTGACTTCGATTTCCTAAAGTAATTTACCGGTTGAATAATCGTAGCAAGCCGCAAATTAAAATTCTTTGCCTTCAAGGAACCTTTTACACCCTGAAGTTGTTAAATGTGTCCAATCATTTCTCCGGCGGAGTAAGCAGCCAAAGTTAGATAACGCCAAAATAGATTACTTCAATTAACTTCTCTCAATTTTGTGGGGACGCATAATTGCACTGAGTTGAAATACAAGTTTAATCAATGCGACGACCACACATACAACTTCAAAAGAAAACTTAACGATAAATTCAATTTGTGATGAGATCTGATTGATGGAACTGATACGCACTATAGAAGCGCCCATGGTTTGAATGACGTTAACAACTGGCGCGCGATCGGAAGACATCTCGAGGGCAAGTCGCATTGAAAATTATAAATATCGTGCAATTGGAGTTTATTTGGAAAAAATATGAAAGGTGTAATGACGATCACCGTCCCAAGAAAACAATTGGATAAAAGAAAGCTTTACAAAAGTGTTAATTGACCTATGTAAATGTATCATGAAAGCTATTGGACATCTGGCAAAGGGGAATAATTTGTTGAAGTTTATCTGGCCCCCTCCAGAAGACCAACATTTGGAAACAGGCCGTGTTTGCGTCGCGATCAAAATCGTTTCGGGGATAACCTGATTTTTTGATCGTGGTTTTTGCAATCTTTTCCGCCTTAAAAGATTGTAAGAGAAGATATTAGTTGACAAAGAGTAGGAAAATTGTCTGGCAAAGAAAAACGTATGAAAGAAATCAAGGTATGTAAACATTTGTGACTCGCGCGAATACTTGATTTCCAAATTCGTTCAATTTTGTGCGTTTAAATTTTAATCAGATTATAGCTTTCCTAAAAGCGACTGGAGTTACCACTTTCAATTTTTATTTTGAGTTGGTATTTCATATTCATTAAGTATACTCTAATTTCTTTTTTCAATTTGGAGGTAAAGAGGTTGAAAACTTCAAGCGGAATTGTAACGAGTGTAAAAAATATGACCTTAATACTTTTTATCTCTAAGCGTGTGAAAACGTACCGCAAATCATCTAAACACACAAATTGAAATTCTTAAACACCTTTATAACGTATATGCGAACGATCATAAATATCCAGTTTCAAATGTGTTTCTATATATATAGATATATGTATACATATATATATATAGTATATCCTGTCGGGGAAATGCTATTTGGAGTTCTAAGATAGTTTAAATTGAAATCCAAAATGAAAAAAATATGAAAACTCTGGCGTGTAAGATTTAGTGTGAAAAAACATCATAGATCTGGGAAATTGCGAAGGTTATTTACTGCGCAGGAATAAGAACGTTTTAATAGAATTTCAGTGCAGGTGATACCGTATAATGGCAATTGTAAGTGTTGCTTAGAGAGCACTATAGAAAGTTTCATTCATTTGACACTTTTCAATTATGAATGTGTTAGGAAACTTCATTTGCATATCAATCAAGTGTCGAACTTAAAGACCCTTCTCAGTCAAAGGAAAATAAGTGGGCTTTACTCTGTGACAAAAGAAAAATCTTGCCCATGATATAAAACTATTTAAGGTGATGGTTCCCCTTCTCTGATTACTTTTGCATGCGCTAGGGAATCTTACTGCAACTGGTAGAAAGCTTGACTGAATAAGCGCGTTAGAATTTAAAAATGTTTAAGTAAAAGATCCAACAGTCATTTCAGTGCAGAAGAAAGTTTACAAACAATGATTAAGTCTGGCGAAAGCTTTAATGCTTGGACGCTGTGAAGTTAATTTGCCAAAATTGTACGAAAGAAAAACGATTTATACTTTCTGAAATGATATGAAAGACGGAAATTACCCGGTTTCAATCGTGACACAACGAAGTCTTAGCGTAGCTCAGTTGGTGTAAAAGTACGGTTTTACTATATCTGGGCCTTTTAGTAGCTTATCATCATAGAGTTCGTGGAAGAATCGCACCGTAAAATTTTCCCAGGCTTTTCTTTGAATACAAAATGTGGCTTTCTAGGCAACGCCACAATTGTTTTCTCTTCGGTGAATAGTTGTTTGCCTTTTGAATGAAGCCCTATTATCTTAAGAACAGCGGTGGCAAAGGGTCGCATGCAAAGAAGACAAAATATTTAATAAACTGCACGAGTTGACGGGTACAGCTTAACGAAATGACCGGTGTCGCTATCATTAGTGCAGGTACAGCACACGAGCGAAAAAAATCGAAAGTAAACACGATACGCGTGTTGGATAAACAACACGATTTTAGGACAGTGCTACCACCATTAGGTTTGAACCAACCTCCCGGAGATTTGGAAAACAAAGAGATTCGACAAAAACTCAGAAACGCTGTTGCAAGACTTTGTGTTGTGTTGACAACCAAAAGTGCCATTTAATTGCCATATTGATTGAATATTGCTGATAATAGGGAGATCACTGCAATTTCATTTCAACATAGCGAAATTCGATTTCTCAAGAGCGGTTTAAAATACACCGTCAACTGAGGTTTTGGTGTGTAGAATATTTGGAAATTTTCCGCCTGAGGTAAAATAAAGATTAATTCTCTATTGAGTATATTATAATGTAGAGTCAATTTCGCGCCTCGACATCCTGATAACAACTAATAGAACAAGTCCCACTTCTAGGAAGGAAATCTTTCAAAATTTAAGCTTCTTTTGTAAACGTAACAGCGCTTAGTTTCGTCTTTGAGTCAACCATGGTAAAAACGATCGACCACAAAAACGATTTCAATTGTACGCTATGAGACTTCGTAGAGTTAAAAAATTATGCTTATCAAACATAAATCTAGTTTATTGGGGGAAATTGATGCACTACAGCGAAACATTCAGAGTGAAAAAATAAATACCAATTACAAGAAAGCGTATCAAATTAAAGACTTGTTTCACCTGTTGGCTCACGTGACATTTTCGACTCCCCATGTACAGTCGACCACAAGAACTAAATATAAAACTACATGCATGCTGTGAGTTACGAATATATTTAGTAGCATTGTTTCAAACGCGGGAAACGATCATTGAAGTCGTTTCTGCTGAAGTATTGTGCAAATATGGATCTAACATCGCAGAACTCACCACAACGAGAGCAATTTTTCGATATTGCTTTTTACTAACACCGGAAATTGTTTATCTAAAACTCACTATAGCATGTTTTAAGAGTCAGTGTATTCTCCGCTGTAGTTTGTTTTTCGCTGTAGTTTTGTTTGTTTTTTGTTTAAACGACAGTATTCTACACCGCAGCTAGTATAGGGGCCCACACCCAGCAAGAAAGAAAAAATTTCTTCGACATTTCTGTGTTTCGGAGGGAGAGCTGAAGTTACTTTTTCGAAGTTTCGCTGGCGGCTATAACACAATCGAATCAGCAGAAAATGTTCTAGAGTTTTCCCAAATTTGGTAATTGCCAACTATAAATTTTTTATCTCGACATCAGTTTGCATTCTGAAGTCCTCGCATTGCATTATGTTCGCAAATCTGAATTGGCAAGAGACGTTAAAGTGAGTGTTATATAATACCGCTTTACATAAAGGGAATCTTAAGCACCTGAGAAAAAGGCAAAGTAAAATGTTAGGATGAGAATTTCGAACCAAAGTTCCACGGATGGTGTCCACGAACGTGAATTTCGTCGAAAGAAAACTACAGAGCTTTAAAATTTTTTACTTTTGTTGATTAAACGTTTCCCTTCCTTGTTTATTCAGGTATGAATCAACTACACAATGAACATCAGCCGGGGTAGTAATATATATGTCATCGTAGTCCTTCTGTTGCTACTTCTAGTCCAAGTCGGTAAGTATCAAACATACGCCATAATTCCCATTCAGAATTATACGAAAACCTTTTGGTTCGCGCAGAGCTACCTTCACTATTAAATCGAAGACAACAAGATATCGCTATATCAATGTACAAAATAAAATATTGCATCACGCCGAGTATTGTCGACGAACTATTTAAGCAGAAAAGCATTAGTTATTCACTAAGAAACAGTGATTTTGAAATTCCTACTTATAATACTATTAACTATGGAAAACATTCTCTTGGATATCAAGGACCTCATATTAGGAAAAAAGACCTAGCGTCATTCTTAAACAACAACAATAGCTGCTGTGACCTGTGCAACTCTTAGAGACCACCTTTTATATACCTACTGTTTTAATGCACAATTTGTACATGTCATTGATATGAATTATATATACATCCTTCAAAATTTCTTATTTGTAAATAACTCTATTTCTAATCTATTAATTTACTTATTTATTTATTTATTTCTTTTTCTGTGTCCCCAATTAGTTGTGAAAACTAAATAAATCGACTCATTGATAGAGCTTTTTACTTTCCTTACTTTACGCCAGGGCCGCCTTCCATTGAGCACTGTTGTCATGAGCAGGTTCTGAAAAATAGATCGTTATCTCGACTTTATTCTGCTTATTCACACGGCTAGTTATGAAGGAATATGAACGATGAACAAATAATTTAACGCAAAACTGGTGAAGACATGAAGATATATACCCGTTGATCCTGACAAGCGAGCACTAACTTTTTACTACCTTCTGTACTATTTTGTTTGTGTGAGAGATGCAATTGTCAAATGGCCATAACTAGCCGGAAAATTGTGTTGGATTCCTGGGAAAGACACCGGTTGCAAACTAAAAGGGAAAATCGATAAAACTCCTGGATGTTCACATCGATCGTCTTAATGAGCCTCCAAATAGCTGAAATTCGGATTCGCTCAGGGTATTGAGGCTCCAAATTCCTTCATGCCAATGAAATCGGAATTATCTCCGGTTGTAATGGGGGCACTGTACTCGTACAACTTATCTATTCTATTTGTACCATTCACTAACAGGTTCTAGCCTCTGGCCAGCGATTCTGGGTGAGCCTAAAGACGTAGCAGTAACGCCAAGTACCACAGGGCCAACCGCGTTCACAATCCTCTGTCTCAAGTCTCAGGGTTCGTCAGTGGCTTGGTTTTTTAACGGAAGACCGGTGGACATCCGTAATCGGGACTTCAGGGTAATAAGTGATGGGTCTCTTCACGCAAAGAATGCGGTCAAAGAAAGAGACGAAGGGTCTTATTACTGCCTGGTGTCCAGCGGAAACAGAGCGATTCGTAGGAGAAGAGCAACGGTGAAATTTTCTTGTAAGTAAATTAAGACCTATTTCAACTTTCCTAAAGTAAATCCCAACCACTTTCAGAAAGCCAACCTCGGGAATTAAACTTATCGAACAACTCTTTCATGATGTAAGGAGTAATTTTACCATACGCATGCCTCTGTACCAAGTCTGCTTACTTTGTATTTCAAAAATGAGTATTCTTTTAGAGGAGTGTAAGCGTACTTTGATGTAATAACGTTCGATTCATTACATCGCGGAGGAAATTCACAACCACTTCTAAGCGTGTGATTAAAGGCTACTAGGGTGTGACATTAATACTGTACCAACAGGCATTCTTTGACCATGATTGAAAGGAAGTGTGTATCCAGGGAACACTTTCTTCAGTTCCAAAGGTTGCCTCCCAGTGAAGATTCTACCGTAGTTAGTGTGGTGTATGACCATGATGCAGCACCAACGGGCATTCTGTGACCGTGATTCAAGGGAAGTGTTCACTCAGGAACACTTTCCGCTTCAGTTCCAAAGGTTACCTCCCAGTGAAGGTTCTACTGTATTTACTGTGGACCATAAGATGAGTGCCAAAGTTCCCTGCTAAATTCCAAGCTGCGCTTCTACCACTTCCTCATTATTGATGTATACAATCTCCTTCCTCGACAGATCTTAATCCATTTACTATCCGCGACAAGGTGGTCTCCAAGGACGAAGGAGATTTCCTCTCCATAAAGTGCATGGCTCCTAACTCTTTTCCACACCGTACCATCCAGTGGTCAAAGGAGGTAAATGGGAAAAAACAGCCAGTGAGGTCGTCTTCGCATCTGACAATAAGCGAAGCCAAGGACTTACATTTTGCATATTTGGAAAGGTCAGACTCTGGAGTGTATATGTGCACTGTAACAAACCTCTTCATCCTGAACAGTGTGGAGAGACAAGTTTCTCTACTCGTAGAACCAGGTAAGGACATCGAAAAAGGTGACATTTCCTTTCATCTTTTACATTTTGCATTCTTAATGGAACAGTCAATTTGCTATGGCTCTTTTGTCAATTGAAACCAGGGAGTATTTCGTACGAGCTACGACGATAATACCAACAAGTGTCAGGTTTTACAAGGTTCATTGTCCTGTAAGGGCCGCTCAGGTTATGTCGCGATGAGTGAAGAGATTTCATGAAAAATTATTATCCTTGCTCCCTTTTACCTTCATAACAGCGACAAATCAGCTTCACAAGCCACCTAGAGTTGCCGATGACTTTAGTATTCCAAAGACAGCCTTCAAAGGAGAGAAATTTGTCCTGGAATGTATCGTTTACGGAAAGTAAGTGTTATTACAACATACATCTTAAAATAACATACATATAGAGAGCATCTAGAGTAGAAGCCTTAATCATGGAAAAAGGCTGATAGTTTCGAAAGAAACTGTTTGGGGCTGCGTCGGTGGGAGTAAAGAAATAATTTGGATATATCAACAAAAGTTGAAATGGTAAATTGGCCACCGTAATGATTACAAAAGCTGACGTTTCGAGCGTTAGCCCTTCGTCGGAGCGAATAGAGGAATTGTGGGTTGTGTGTGCTTTTAAAGGCAGAAAATGGAGCTACGTTATTGGTGGGTGCATGGCAACGAGAAAAACATGAATAAATTAGTGGAATGAAAAGCGTTCATTGATCCCTGTGGGATT